GTGGAAGAGCACTTGCCTATCATGCGCGGGGCCCAAGTTTCAAGCTGCAGCACTGAAAACACCAAAAAACAAAATAAAACAATTGCTTGTGCTCAAGATGACTGGATTTAAGGGAGATGAGCTATACTGGCAGTTCTATACCATTATTCTGTACCTATAGTTGACAGTATACTATTATGAGTTCAGAAATTTACTAAATTGCTAAAGTTTCTAAATTGCTAAAGTTTCTAACCACAATAACAAAAGAATTATCTCTGCCTGACATCGGCAGCACACTAACTTTTAAACGCATTAGACCAACGAACTGGGTCTAATCGATAATACTGGTGCTTTCCACTTAGGCCCATTTTAGCTGCTAGGTTTCATCCTCAGTTTAGTGCCACCAATATCTGTGATTGAAACCCTAACTCCTCATCTCATATTGATTCGAAAGACTGCCCTTCAAAGCTGCGCCTAGTCCAAGCCGTGTTCCGATCGCTCCCCCCCCCCCAACCCCCGCCCCATGTTCCCCTGCACATCCTGCTATCAGATGCTGTGGCCAGCCTCCCAGCCTCCCTCCGCTCTTCTCTGCTTAGGGGACTGGCCATGCGCCTCGGGAAGCCATTCTGGCTACACTTACGGAGCTGTAGTCGCTGATAGCATAGACGTAGATGAGCCAGTTTTTCCGGACAACTCTAAAGCTCCCACAAGGCCAGGCTAATCCTCCTGACTTCCACCCGAGAATACAGCCCTCTGGGACTTCCTCCTACCCCAGTCAGGCTTCCCCATCACTTCCAGGAAGCCCTACAGAAGCATCTCTTTAGTGAAGAACTTATCCACAAATCTTTGTGTGGGCACCCAGCTACTCATCATGAGGACTTCTGGGGGCCCTAACCTAAAACAACTCTTTAGCTAGGTGACCTCACATACCCTCCTGTGTCCCCACAATGGCTGCCGTTTCCCTTCCTTTCCTCAATTCTAATTTGGTCAAAGTGGCACAACAGTTAGAGGAGACTTTGTCCATTAAAAAAAAAAAAAAGACAAAACAAATGCTCTAAAATCTGAATAGTATAGAGTAGCAATCTTTCTAGTATCACTCAGCCTCCACAATCTGGACCCCATCAGTGGTGGGGGCTATGCCCATAATCTCAAAACTGAGGACATGGAAGCAAGAGTTTTGTCAGTTCAAGTCCAGCCTGGGCGACATAGTAAGGTACCACCTCAAAAATGTCTTAAGAAAATTAAAAGATGATAACCAGGTGCCGCCTCTCCCATGAAGAGATGGGTCACCCCGATTCTGTCATCATCTACCTCCCTACCTGCAGTGGGGGAGGGGAGAGGAGTCTGTGAAGCCCAGAGTCTGTCTTGCTCACCACGGTGCCTCAGCACTTAGGTGGGCAGCTAACACACTGGACAGGTTTAGTAAATACACATTGGGTGGCCAAGCTTCACCAAGCTTCAGACTAGAAAGAACTTGCCTAAGACACCCATGGGCCTGAGAGAAGAGCAGCCAAGACTGCAGCCTTGATCTCTCATCTGCCGGACCTCAGAATTTTCCACGTGAGACTCCACCTCCTAGTGCTCTGTCTTCCTCAACAGGCAGCAGAAATGGAAAACTACAGGGAAACCCCTTCTCCTCCAGCCAGAACCCTGGCATCCAGGCGCTGGCACCAGCAATGAATGGTGGGATGCCTTGCCACGACGGCTAAGATTACTACAGCTTTGAGACGCCATTTCTATCTCCCCACCTGGAAGCTTGCTAGAGGCAGGGACGTTGCTGAGTTGACCTCCCCTCCCCCATCTGCAGGAGCTAGCAGACTATCAGAAGGAGAGAGGGGACGGACGTGAAGAACACAAAGGATCCAGCTTCACCTCCAGCTCTCCTTTTCCAGCCTGCTCAACACTAAACAAGGGGATTTCGGTCCCAAGGGCTCAGAGGTAGTCAGGGGACCCAATGAGATGTGTAGAGGACCCATCATGGCGGGGGTAGAGTGAGCCTTTAGGGAGCAGACCCTGGGGTTAGTAGCAATAGCCTAATGGAAGCAACAGTGGCAGAGGCAGGCTCATCGGCACCAGATGCACGGAGGTCCAAGTAGGCGATGATCAGACACCTGGGTTCTGATAACTCACTCATCAATGCCTGCGGCTTAGCACTATACCACATCAAGAATCCTCTTTTCCCTATAGAAGAAAGATATCCAAAGACCTAAGCGCAGCCTTCAGTGTGGCCCTACACAAGAGCAGGCCAACATTCCCAGGGAGCCCCGGGCTATCGCTTATACCGGGTTTGGGTTCTGTCCCTACGCCCAGAGAGCAACATTAAATCCCCTCACTTTCTAAGGAGCTTCTCTGACAGCCTCATTCACGGCCCCTCTTCAGTCTCCTAATGATTCATTTATGCAGGGGAGTACCCTCATCCAACTCCAGACACAAGCTTCAGCACATAAGCCCCGCCCTCCGCACCTAGCAGGCTGGGTCCTCCACGCCTCTTTCTTAACCAGAAACTTCATTTACAGGCTTTTCTTCCTCTCAAGCCCACTCCTTCCCGGGAGCAGCAACAGCAGGGGTGCAGGGGTCAGACTGACAGGCTCACAGCCCTGGTTCTGCCACTGCCTTTTTGTTTAGCGCTGGGCAGACTGCCCCTCCAACCACCTCCCTCGATTTCAGAATGAGGGCAGGAACGCCTTCCCCGCCTATGCATTCCCACCAGAGCGAAACAAAAGCCCAGAGGCTTGTACATGGCACGGAAATACATGGCTCTAGAATGTCATTTCACTCTTTGCCGAAGCACCATTCTCGAATCTGGAAAAGGCTCACGCTTGGCCACGAACATGACTGATAACTAACAAGAGAACTGAAGAATCGAAATGTTCCAAACTGTCATTGTCACAGCAAGGCCCTTCCTGCTGAACTCCCCTGCTTCCTAGGAAGATGTCATTTCCCAGGTACGGGCCGTAAGTTCACGCTGGTAACTCAAACAGGAAGTACAACCTGAGAGCCCTAGAGCGGAAAGGAAAGGAGCCTGCCCTGGGCAGGGTGGACACTTGGCACAGAGGCGGTCCCAAGAGCCAGGAAAGTAGGCAGGCTCGGTGTTGCTAGTGAGCCCAGGTTCCAGGCCCAGAGAGTGTGTTACAAGAGGAATCCTAACAGCTGGCAGTAGTCAAGACCTAAGACTCTGGGTGATTGACTCTCTGGCTCGAGGTGTGAGCAAAGGGCCAGCCCTCAGCTGGTAGATGGCTCAGTGGGCAAAGCACTTGCCACACAAGCCTGAGGACCAAAGTTCAGATCCCCCGAACCTGTGGGCATGCATAGTGGCTGCCAGTCATCCAAGCGCCCTGGAGGCAGAGACAGGGGTTCTCCAAGGCAAGTAGTCAGTCTAGCAAAATGATGGAGCTCTGGGTTCAAGCAAGAGATTCTGACCCAGTCTACGAGGTGGAGGGCAATCAATGAAAAGCGACATCAACCTCTGGCCTCCAGACTCTCCTGTCACAATACACATATACACAAATGTGTTTGTTTTTTTTTTTAACATTTTAACATTTTGTTTGAATTCATGGGGGGTGCACATCTGTACATAGCAAGGGGCAATCAGAGCCCAGCTCCCAGTAGTTGCTTCTCTCCTTCCATCACGTGGATCTTGAGGCGTTAAACTCAGGTCACAGGCTTAACAGGAATCACCTTTACCCACTGAGCCATCTTGTCGCCCCCCCACCTCACATCTGAAAGCACAAATCCAAACCCCAACACTGAGACTATCCTCTTCAGCCTGAGACCCAAATCCCACCCCCAACAGTCATGTCTGTCCATATGCAGCCACGCCCTGTGATCTTGCCACTCAGGGACCATGCCATTCCTCACAGCCTCAGCGCCACCAAACTGCCGTGGGCCAGTTGGAAGGTCATGGCAGCACTCCGTGGGAAAAAGAAAAAGTTCCAGGTTCCCAAAGAATAATCGTTTCGAGTCACCCAACCCCCACCTCTGCCAAGGGATAGCAATAAAACTTAGGTGGTCGGGACAGGCATGGTAGTGCACACCTTTGATGCCAGCACCCGGGAGGCAGAGGCAGGTGAATCTCTGTGAGTTTGAGGCCAGCCTGGTCTACACAGTGAGTTCTAGGCCAGGTAGGGCTATATAAAAAATCCCTGGAAAGAGAGAGAGAAAGAGAGAGAGAGAGAAAGACGGAAGGAAGGAAGGAAGGAAGGAAGGAAGGAAGGAAGGAAAGAAAGAAAGAAAGAAAGAAAGAAAGAAAGAAAGAAAGAAAGAA